CTTAGAGAAATGAGTGCAGGAAAGGACATCAGTGAGCCAGGTTACACAACCAGTCTCTTAGTGAAGTTAGGGCTGGTTTGGATCTGCTTTCATTTATATCAGTAGTCAGGGATTGCTAGGAAAAATGCGATAACTTAATGAAGTAAATTTTACCAATGGTTTTAAGGGCTTCTTGGTCAGGCATGGAGAGAGCATAAAGCCAAGAAAACCTCTGCATCTGCTTTTGATGGCATGCTTCCTATCACAATAATTTGAAACACTTAAACACCTTTTGGACATTTCAGCAACATGCCAAGCAAGTCACTGGCAGAACCAGAGGAGCATCAAGGCTATTTTCTGGGCTTATGCGTATGGTGCTTTCTTTGTGCTACGTGAAGACTGCATGTGTGGGAAGCCAGCAGATAGTACAACAGGCCTGTGATCCAGGAAGAAAAAGGTGAAAGTGATTTCACTGTTCAGTCTTATCTGTTAATGTTTGCACTCTGCAGGTGAAGGAGCTATTCAAATGCTCAGAAGTTCTTTGTTTTTCACTTGAACTGCATCAAACAGATAAGCACGCGAGTGGACTTAAGGACTGAAGGACTGAGTGCATAGCTCAGTCTTTCTTAATTTCTCCTTCCTCACTGCTTGCATATGCAGACAGTGAGATTCTTTAGGAAAAAAACCAGCCTTTAGCCCTGGGAAAATGCATGTTTTTGTGGTATTGGTGAAGTGGTTTTGTTTGTTTCACTCACCATGGACCTTTCTCCTTGCAGGCTAAAAGTGTGAACCATACGGAGTATATACAGCTGTTGCAAGCTTCTTCATATATATGTAGGTGCAAAAGATGCTCTGAGGTAGGGTTTTTTACCTTCTAGGTTTTGTTTTATTAATATATGACATTTAGGAGGGAAAGTAAAGATATTACTCCAGCCGTATCATTTCTGTGCAGTGATTACACGTGGTGCTTTACACATAGGTAAGGACAAGTAGCTACTTTCAGAGAGAAGGCTAGAGGTACTTGTCATTTGGTGTAACATGTATCTTGGTCCTGTGCGTGGGCAGCAGGATTTAAGGCTCACAAATACTAGCCTTCAGTAGTAGCACTCATGCGACATCAGTGGTTCACTCTTGATTAACAGTGCTTGTCAGTGAGCATTGAATTCTGTGTGTGTAAATACTGTTGGGTTGGCGTGTCTTAACATCACTGACTTGTTATGGGTTCAGACTTTGGCTGAGTTCAGGTGAGGAGGCAAATATACCGCTAAGCTGTCTTTATACTTCCTCTGACAGAGCAGCCAAGTACTTGAATCAGCACTTGGAAAGAAAGAGAATAGCCACAGGGCTGTGCTAGTTTATCCTGCCAGAGGTACCAGTGGTTCTTGGCCAGGATCACTAGAGAACAGCACATGCAGCCCTTATCTAAGCAAGCCCTGACACATCTTCTACAATAGCCAACTCTGTTGCTTCTCTTGATTAGCCATAAGGCTGCACTCTGTCACAGTAAAAAATAAAACGTGTGAGGTCGGTTGACAGTCTAATTTACACCAAAGTACAGTTTCGAAGTATTATTTTTTAATTTTCACCCACTGAGCCTGGCCCTCAGGGAAGTGCCAGTGCATTGTGATTCCTTTAAGGGCAAAGGCAGTTTAAAAGGTTCTCATCCTTCCCTGCATTCTGCTCCTGGTTTCCATTCCTTCGCAGTTTTGTCAGTTCAGCTGATCGCAAGGCAGCCTTTCAGTGTGGATCTGTGATGTGATCCAGGCTGGAGGCGTGCATTTTGAAGGCTTGGGTTTTTTCCTTTGTCATAACCTGGATGGGTCTGTTACCATCACTTCCAAATGTTTGAATTTATGCAACAGAGGAGGTAGTGACCTGTGTTGAAAGGGCAGAAATAGCAAATCTAGGAGGAGGAAAAGCTGAAAGTTTCTCCACCTAAAAAGCTCACTTGAGTGTAAGGTAAACATTCATTGTCATATGAAATAGCCTGTACTTCTCATATGCCTGGAGCTACATCTGTAAAGCAAGTTACATGCTTGTTCGTAAGCATTACAAAATTAGAGGCATCCTCTGAACTACTAGAGTAGGCACAGCTATTTTTTAATTACATTGTTTGCCTGAAATGTGAAGTTTGTTCTTATTGATAATGTCCTTCTATGTGATACAGAAAATCTAGGTAAATCAATGAAGACCTTTGCCTTGAAGTGCCACTTACAGACCTTCATGGCGAGTAGTTGAAGGGCAGGTGCTTTCCATGGGTCCCCACGTCATACCTCGGCATCCCGTTGGTGGACGCTTTTGCAGAGTAAGGCAGTTCTTATCCTGGAGCAGTTCTGCTCGTGAAGTTGGTCCAGGCTGTTGTGTTGAGGTGGTCATGTTCCTGCTTGGTCAAGGCCTTTTGAAACAAATCGTGCCTTTTTTTACCCCCACCAGAAGTTACACAACCAATAGTCAAAAGTTCAGAGGCCTTAGTGCCAGGGAGGACTTTGGTTTGTGAGGAAGCTCACTCCCAATAAGGAAGGGTATGGATTAAAAATACCATAGTTGTTTCACTGTTTGGTTGTTGTGTTTTTTGTTTTTTTTTTCCCTCTGCTCAAGAAATGGCAGTGAAGCTTAGTGTAGTCTGCTTCAGAAATGGATTCAGGTAAATGCTAAAAAGGTGAGGTGTTTTGCTGGTTTAACAAGCTGCTGAGCAAAACTGTCAGTATTGCTGCTACCAGCAAGAAAAATGTTGCTGCCTCCCCTTCCTCCCTGCTGGTCTGTATGGATATGCCGTCTGCCTGGCGCTGGCTGTGGTGCTCACGGGATCCTTCCCTGGGCTGGCTGAGCTTGTTAGGCTGGTGGGAAACTGTCCACATCTTTTCTTCTCCTGGGTTAGTTTTCTCCTAGGTTAGTGAGTTGATTTAGCTCATGTAAGGGTCTGTTGGCTGCCAGAGCTGGTGCCAAGTGTGCAGACAGCAAAACGAAGAAAAAAACCCCAGTGTGGTAGAGAAGAGTAGGCTTGTCCCGTTTTGATAGTAGTGATTTGTTAGATCGGTTCACCCTGACGTGTCAAGGAGCACTTGGCGGATCATAGGGGAGGTAGCACTCAACAACCACCGTCTTCTAGATGGGACTAACAAAACCCAAAGATGGTGGTAGTGCAGGGTGAGAGCCTCACTGGATCTTCCTGCAATGGCTGTGAGTTGCTACAGGCTTGCTGAAGTAATGCTGATGCTTATGGGCAAAGAGAGTCATCCTCACCGCTACGTCTCTGAGGATTATCCACAGGGTCTCCATGGTCCAGGTTCTCCTTAGCAGTCTCACTCTGCAAAAAGATATTGATTTCTGGAAAGTATCGATTCACCAGGACTGTGAGTTATTGTAATTGCTGTTAATGGACAGAATTTTATGGAGAGCGAGCACGTGACCTGCAGAGCACTTTCTGCTTTGTCATCCTGCCTGTGGCAGGTTGCCCGAACCAACAAGGGAGAGGCCCCTAGCAGCAGCCTGCGTGCAGACTCTTTCAACTCTCTGCCAGAGGTTATGGTTGCCTTTGGGTTTTGGGGTTGCTAAAGCTAGGCACCTCTAGCACAGATCTACCTGAAAATAATTAGAGATGTTTATATAAATGCCTGCGTTGTCTAATGACTAGATTTCTATCTCATTAAAGATAGAGTTTTAGGTGAACATTCCTGAGGTTGTTCAAACTTGTTATAGGAATAAAATATAAGGCTTCAGTTGCTTCAGGTATATGCAGGATTGTAGCCTTGATAATATATTGAAGAAAAAAATTCTCCTTTGTTAAGATTGTGACCACTGTTCAAAACCTGTGTTCTTGCTTTTCTTTTTTCACATGCATGTGTATTAATTCCTGTGTTCCTTCCCCAAGCTAGAATTGGCTTATAGTATTATCCATCATTAATATTACTACTAACTATTGTGTAACGATTCTGATCTTTAAACCCCTTTACCAACATCAGCAAAGTACTCTTCCCAATACTTTTGTGAGATTATCACCAAGTTTCAGAGAAGAAATCAGAGACAAGATTATGGACCGCTTTTCAATGACTGCCGCTTTGCATTTGTGTGCGCGTAATGCTCTTCAGGTTTGTGGGCTCAGTGCCCAAGGAATGTACATGAATTCAGTATGGCTGTTTGTATAACTATGTGCACGTGTCAGAGTTTGCTAATTAATGCTGGTTGTGCAGTGCAAAGTATGTAGGTGATTAAGTACAGACAAGTGTGTACTGACCCATTTATTGGAAATTAACAGAGAGTTATGTGAAAGAAGGCAGAGCTGATAATGGATTCCAATCAAGCATTAGATTTTCTTCTTTTTTCTTTCTCCATGCCATGTCAAATAAAGTATCACCATGTGTAGAAATGTTAGGGTTTTTTCTTTTTATTAATATGCTTAATATTTTCTATTGGATATATACATATATCTTTTTATATATATATATATAAAATCAGTTATAAGCAGTGAGCAAACACAGATCTTTTCCAGGATTTTGAAGATGTTTGTTTAGAGGATTTCATAGTATAAGCGATATGATATGGCAGAAATTATTGGGGGGGGCGCTGGGCAGGGAGATGCATGGCAAAACCAGTTATAACAATAAATGGAACTGAAAGAAGTTTCCAGGACACTAATTGCAGGAGAAAATAAAAACTTCTAATTCAGTTTATAAAGTACGAGACTGAACAGAATGACAGCACATCAGCGTAAGAAAATCACTTTCTGGGCAAGAAAGGTGAAAATCATCATTTTCCTTTAAGACTGAAGTTTCAGGCTTAGCCACAACAAATCTTATTTCCTTGTTTTGTTCCAAGCATACCATTGGATTGGCAAAACTTACTGAAATCCCAGCCAAATTTCATACGGGATTTTATTAAAGGGAAAAAATATAGCAAGTCATCCTAACGTTGCAAATGACTCATCGAGTCGCCTTAGGAAGTGCTCCCCTGAGACAGGCATGCCGCTGATGAGGAAGCGATGAAGCTGCCAGGCCACTCCCCCAGCCCATTTCGCTTGAGGAGCGCAGCCTTCATAAAGGACGTCTCTCCAGGCACTACGTTATTTTATTCTTTATTTTACAGAGGGAGCGGAGAAGCGGCAAGAAGGGCGGTGCGAAGTAACGGCAGAAACGTCACAGCCAGTTGGTTTTGTACGGGGCAAGCGAGTAGGAGATCATGAGAAAACTTTAAAGGTAGGGGAAGATACATGTTAATGTCTATAATTTAATTATGAATGGAAAAATCAAAAGAATGTAGGCTTTCTTTTAAAAATTGTAGTTCTTAGGAGAAGAATGGAGGAACTCTGTTCTCAGGATGGGGTCGTGGTCATGAACAAGTTGCCCCGGTAAATGGGAAGCGGAGCTTGGCAAGATCCTGGCCGCTTTGGAGCGGGGTTCTAGGAGGTGGTTTCAGGGGGGAAGACGGTAATCTGCTTTGTCTGATCTAAACTTTAAATATGTTTTCATGAAGAATGATTATGAAGAACTAATGAAAAATGAACCAAATCGTAGGGAATAAAAGCTGAAGTTTCTTAATACATGTGAAAACAAAGCATTTTTCTTAAGAAAGAAGTAGCATGATATAAGTAGTGATCTAAGCAAATTTCATGAATAGGTGTTGTGGTTTCTTTGTACGCATCATAGAGATACAGTTCTTGGTAGTTGGGTCTGATGACCATATGGGAGTTAGTCTGCCCTTAAGCTTCTCACCATCCTGTTGCCACTGCGCAAAGAAGAAGTGCTTTTGAAAAGAATGGCACACTTTGTCTAATTTTATGTCCCTAAATATGAATAAAGTGAAACTGCATATCACCTTACAATAATATGCTCCCTTTTCACTCTTTCTCTGATTGCAGTAGTTTGAGCCTGGCCAATGGCCATGTTAGGAAAATAGAAAAAAGGGGAACCGAGCGCCAGATAGATTCAGTGGTAGGGACAGATTTTTGGGGTGGCAGAGCAGGAGGAGAAGAGGAAGGAAGGCAAGGTATTTTTGGATGTCTTCACCACAGCCACAGGTGCTTTCTAGGTTTTGTTTCTACTAGTAACTTGCTACCCAGGGCTATGAAATACTATTAAAATGTAACTTTCTACAGGCAGATGCACAGTCTGAATTTTTGCTGACATTGCTGTGTAAGTTGCTGGAGGGATAGGGGATTTTTGTCAGTGATACGGCGGCGCTGGTAGCAGTCTCCAGGGTAGGCGCAGTTGTGCTTAGAGAGGGAATAATCTAACCTCAGAGGAAGGCGACAGTAGAGTGGGTTGAGCACAAAGGGCTGCTTAATGCAAAATAAAATTAAGATGAAAAGAGAAGGGAAACTTCTGGGTTTTTTTTCTTTCCATTTATTTGCTGTTACTATTCCAGTAGTACCGAATCAAGTCCTACCTAGTTAGGCAGTCAGAAACACTTGAATAAAAGCAAGCAGATTTGTAAAGTGACTAAGTATGGGTTTCTTCATTTGCTTTTTTGGCCTTAAAAGTTTTGTCATTATTTTAGTTGATACTCACTGATTTACGTCAGCTGAGGAATCTGATTTTTACTCACTCAGGATCTTGAGGCATGGAGAATTTTGCCAGCAGCTCCAAAGACTTGAAGGTCTGAAGCCCTGATAAATTGGAGCTCTGTAAATTAAGTATAAATGCTCATTTTAGAAAGAGTGCATGAACACAATGCAATATTCTTTGTGGCATACAGCTGTCAAAATGCATTTTAGAACTTGTGGGTTCTTTTTCTGTGGTAGTAGTCATCTGATTTAAAAAAAAAAAACTCTTGTGAAACTCTTGATCCATTTGGTGCCAAAGTTAGTTACAATGATAAACCAAAGTAATAATAAACACAGGCATGTTACAAAAATGTAGTTTTCAGAAATTGTTTTCTTCATTCAGTTGGTAAGTCTGGTAATTGCAGATTATTACAATGTTGTATGTGATTGTTGTATTTTCCTACTAATATATGCAGGAGGAGGGGAAAAACACTAATTAGGAAAGTCCAGGGCAGATGAAAAGAATAAAATAAATTAATGGAATGCCTGTGTCAGCAGGTATATATCTTATCCTGGAGTACACAGTATGAGGAGGCACTGGAGTTGTGTTGATGTGGAAAACTAAGCTCTGCAAGGAAACCCAGGGCCCCAACAAACAAGAAAATTCGTAGTTCAGTATCTAATAGGTACTGAGGTACTCACGGATGGATGAAGAAAATGAAATTTTAAAAAGCTAATTAAAAGCAGAGCTCAGAAAATTCAGATGCACTTTATGTTCCCTTATCACAATATTTGCTGCTGAAAATAGTAATTTTTGAGCACCATGGGTAATGTTTCAATGTTCCCTCACCATTTTCGTTTTCTCTGTTCAGGCACATAAGGAAGGCAAGCCTCAGAAACTGCTGGAAATGAACGGGCATATGCCGGTGCCGCATTCCTACGACTATGATCTCATTGTCATTGGTGGGGGCTCAGGTGGTCTGGCAGCTGCCAAGGTATGAGAGAGAAAATACAGATTTATACTTTCCTTATAAGTAGGTGGGTGACATCCTCAACGTCTTGGATGTGGGTATCTTAAACACTGATGGGGCATAACATTTCTGCCTGATCAGTGGGATTTCTTTTGAAGTTAACCCCAGTTGTACAATATTGTTTTCGTTATGTTCTGAAGAAGAAAAACATAAAATTGTCATGGTATACTTAAGAGTAATAAAAGTTAGTCCCCACTAATCAGAGACGATGCTGTTGGAAAACAGCAGGTAGATCTCTCAACAGTGTTTATTAGTAGTTGAATTAAAATTCAACTCATAATTGAAAAAGTTTTAAAAATTATTCAAAATTGACATCAGGAGGTTTTTAGTTTTAACTGAAAGTATATCTGTTCAGAAATAGTTGCAAATGTTGTTTTAATTCTTGCAGGTGGGGGGGATTTTGTGATTTGTGAGCTTATATAGTTGCATAAATGGAGATTTTGCCTGGACTTAGGCAGAGTTAGGATCTCGCCCTTCATTTCTAGAGTCTGGTACTTCCTGCATGTAGCAAATAATTTCTGATTTTTGGTTAGGATTTTGCTTTTAGAAGCATATCTAGAATTAATTAAAAGAATCCACAGTGGTGCAGAATGTATCAGCTCTTACAGTTGTCATTGTCCCAAATATTTGAAACTTGCTGAAATTCAATGTAGTTCATTAACTCTCCTTTATGTCAGTAGTTAGGCACACTTTGCCTCTTCTCACTGTGGTAGAATTAACTATGTAGAAGTGAATTGCACATTCCTAGAAGTAAAACTATTTTGTTACTCAAGACCTGGAGCTGGATTATTCCTCCAGACAGGAGGCATTTCTTTTGTTCTCAAGAAGTGAAGAAGGTTATTGAGGAGTGAAAGAAAATGAGGAGAAAATATTTCAGCATAGCATTGGATTCACACTAAACCTTGGTCCCGTAGAACTCCTATTATAAGGGGAGGAGTGTAGTGCTGAGTGGTGGGCTGTAATGTGCTGTATGTCCATAATCTATTTCGTTAGTTTACCGCTTTCCCATCGACAGAGGCACTATTCTCATGGTGCAGGATGGAGGATAAGATCTATAAAAATTCTGAGAACCTGCCAAGAGAAACAGACACTTCAGAGGATGGGGATGTTTTAGGACAGAAGAGAGGAACAGGAGTAGAAGGGAGCTTGCAGTAATGCAAAACCAGTTTGCAGTAATAAAAAGCCATCTGTTGAAATTTCCATAAGGAGACTGCTCTGCTTTGTTGTATACTTGTGCTAGGTTATGAAGCTACAGCAGGGATGTTTATTGCATCATTTTTCAGCTGTGGGACAGAAAAGGTGTGTAGCTAGGAAGATAAATTGCCTTATTCCTTCGACTCGGTGTATAAAGTATATTGCTTCTTAGTGTTCTCAAGTGGTTGTAGGGTAGAACAGAAGATGGTAGATCAATAAAGTCAACATCACTATCAGTAGTAACGTGTGTATTTCAAATCAGTTTCATGAAGTTGAAGTGAAACTGTTTTACACTTAGATTATTCCATTTTTTTTAGTGAATTAACAAACAGTGCTTTAAAAAGCAAAACAAAAGGGGAAAAAAACCAACTACACAGCTCTTACACCAAGTTCAAGATATCTACACTCGGGTTTGCTAACTAGGTTGATTAAATGTGTGCTTCTCACAGTGACACATGCAGCTTTGTGTGCACAACTTCCTTTTCCTTTCTATGTTGTGCTCAGAGCTTGTTATTTTGGAGGCGCGTCTCCACGGTGAGTGCAAACGCTGCCAAGCTGATTCTGTGCAACCCAACTAAAGTGCCAGGCCACTACTATCAGTTCACACAGAACAGCTCCAGCCTTAAGCGACCTTGTTGTGTTCAGCACTGCACTGAACCCAGCAAGGTTTGAAAGCCTACGGGGCAGGTTTTGCATTGCGGGCGTGTCACTCTGCAGAAGTGGTTATATCTGTGTGTGATCTCTACCGAGGTGGTGACGCAACGCTGCGCTGTGTTATCTGAGCGTATAGCTGAGTGTAAGCTTGGGCATTCTAGTTAGCTAACATTAGTAAAGCTCTTTTGAGCTGTGCGTAGGATTTATCATTATAAAGGGACGTTTATATCCCTAAGCACCTTTCTGAGGAATTTTGTCAGAAGTGCTACTAATGGATAGAAATTAGTTTCTTGGCCAACCTTGTCCTTTATTAGAAGCAGAAATCCAGTACATATTTTCCAAAGGTGTCTACAGCCTGCATTGTTTGAAATATGATTTGTATTTTGCATGAAGTAAGAAACATTTCAAAGTGAAATTCTGATTGCCAACTATTTGGATTAACAAGTATTACTGGTAACATAATGCTGAAGGCTGTCTAGCACCTCCCAAACCAAACTCAAGGCCTTATGAGGGTAGTGTCCTGTGCCTATAGTTGTTATTGCTTACATATCAAAGAACTCATCATGTGCTGCAGCACAGTTGTGGTTACTCCAAGTACCAAAGTTATTTGCTGCATCTCATGGGCATCTTGTCATTGTTTCTTAGCTATGTAGTGCTTACTTAAGTAACTTTCTCTGGTACCAGTTATTGCTGTCGATTTTTGCCTTTTTCTTAAAAAGCACAAAGGGAACAATGAAATCAGTGTAGAAATTCCAGTTCTCAGTATCATTTACACACATAGATTGTAGGTTTGCTAATGAAGCTTCTCAGGGGAAATGTCATGAAATAAACCATCACTTTTCTATTCTGGATGACATCCACACATCCTGACAGTAAAGTCAACTTGCCGCAGGTTGGCTAGCTTGAAGAGCAAGAGCTGATCCTGACAACTACAGATTGTACTCAAAATCGAGTGTTCCCTTCTAGTACAAGAAAAAAGATTGAATAAGCACGGTTGTAATGCTTGGCCACGTGACTGCTTGTGTCATTGTGTGATGTGGTTTTCAAACAAATGTTTGGGAAACCATCTTTGAAGGGAAAACTGCATAAGTGAAGAATTTGTTAAATATGTTAAAAGTAAATGGCGTATTGGGAAATAGTGTGAACAAACTGACAGGATGGAGGAGAGGAGGTTTGACTCCCAGAGTCTTCTGTGTATCAGCTGGTGCCATGCTGTTGTGTAGCAGGATGAATGCCTGTTTTTCTCCTTTCGTCTTCTTTTTTTTTCTACTGAGTGCACAGATTAATTCAGAAGATTAATGACTGTCTGGCTGTTCCCTTGCAAATCATTCATTATTACTTAATTAAAAGTCGCAAAGCTTTTCAGCAATGCACGATGTTATCATCTACTCCAAATTTAACCTCTAATATTTAGATATGTCTCTTATTTAATTTGTTTTGCAGGAGGCTGCCAAATATGAAAAGAAAGTGATGGTGCTGGACTTTGTCACACCTACGCCTCTGGGAAACTCATGGGGTAAATTTCTTTTCATTGCAAACCTGTTATAAAGGAGCTTTACTCAGAGACTGATTCTCCTTTGAGATTGGCCACACTGATGTGAAAAACAAATTCTGTTCCTTTCTCTCAGGTCTTGGAGGAACATGCGTAAATGTGGGCTGTATTCCTAAAAAATTGATGCACCAGGCAGCTTTACTGGGACAAGCCTTGCAAGATTCACGCAAATTTGGATGGCAGTTTACAGAAGAAGGTAAAGGAGAACATTTTTTTGCAGTTTTGTCATTTGTGCTGAAAATCCAGAGGTTCTTTTCACGATCAAGTGCTTGTTGCACTGAAGCGTGTGCTGACTTTAACAATGTGAGGCACCTTCAAAGAGATTACACATAAACTTAAGTGCTTTTCAAGTCTAATGCCATGGGGCGTATTGCCTTGCAGCGTTTGATCTGTTTATTAATAGCTTCTGATCATGTTAGTATTTGATAAGATTGCTGCGTGAAGAAAAACAATAAGGTACTACTCCATTTCTGAATGTAACACAACATCTAAGGGAATACTCCAGAAAATCTCCTCTTAGAAACTTCCTCACAATTGCAGGCAAGGATTTCCTTTCCCTCAGTCTCTGTCACTGCTATGTAAGAAGATGAATTTTACTTCATATTAGCCCTAATGTGCATGGTTATAGGACTGGGATTCATTTAGGGTGTAATCCTGTAGTGGGAAACATGCAGAGGGACCTCTGAGATGCATAGTCTTCACTTGTTGAGCAATGTCACCTGCTCACAGTGTACATCAATAGAAAACTATGGATAATGCAGCAAGTCTAAATTTTCCACGTTGTCGTGGTTTAACCCCACAGGCAGCTAAAACAACCACACAGATGTTCGCTCATTCCCCACCCAGTGGGATAGGGGAGAGAATTGAATATGGAAAAAAAAAACAACGAACCCCAACTTGTGGATTGAGGTAAAGACAGTTTAGTAGGACAGAAAAGGAAGATGATGATAATAATAATAATAATAATAAAAAAAAGAATATACGAAACAAGTGATGAACAGCACAGTTTCTCACCACTCAAAGTCCATGCTCAGCAAGACCCCAAGCTGCCCCACCTCCTGGTTCACGATCCAGTCATATATGGAACATGACATCATATGGTATGGAATATCCCTGTGGCCAATTTGGGTCAGCTGTCGCAACTGTGTCCCCTCCCAGCTTCTTGGGCACCTCCGGCCTTCTCGTTGGCGGAGCAGTATGAGAAGCTGAGAAGTCCTTGACTGCTTGGCAACAAGTAAAACATGAGTGTGTTATCAACATTATTCTCATCCTAAATCCCAAACACAGCACTATACCAGCTGCTAGTAAGAAAATTAACTCTATCCCTGCCAAAACCAGGACACATGTTTTAAGTCATATCTGTTCCATTGTGATCTCTTGTGTTGTCTGATGTAATTCTTTGGATTTCAGTAGAGTTACCCTGGAATAAAAAAGGAGTAAGACAAAGGTGACTGGGTCATGAAAAAAGTCTGTCTGAGAACACAAGGTTGGCTATGGAAAAAGAAGAACCCACAGGCTGAAAGATGAACCTTTCTCTTTTGTTTCTAACAGTCAAACACAACTGGATGACTATGACAGAATCTGTTCAGAATTACATTGGTTCACTGAACTGGGGCTATCGGGTTGCACTGAGAGAGAAGAAAGTCACATATGAGAATGCATATGGAGAATTTGTCGGGCCACACACAGTTAAGGTACGCCCTAGCCATGTTTGGTGGGTCTTCCTATAGTACTTTCTGAATAGAGATGCTTTTCAAATAGAATGATTTTTCCCTTGGTCGGACTGTGAAATACTCACCTTGGACTAATACTTTGTCCACAGGCAACAAATAAAAGAGGAGTTGAGAAGCTGTACACGGCTGAGAGATTTCTCATTGCCACTGGTGAACGACCACGCTACCTGGGTATACCTGGAGACAAGGAATACTGCATTAGCAGGTAAAACCAGGGAAGAATATGAAGTCATTCACCATGTGTAAATGCTTCACCTGTAAGAGAAAGTGGTGAGCAGGGTGGCTTGGCTGCTGGTTTTGATTCCTCTGTAACTTTTTATTAGGGGAAAGTAAGTGCAGGAGAATAGCTATAGACAGATTTTTTAAGGTGCCAAAAACATTGGTGTCTAGTAGACCGCACAGGACTGTGGGTGGCTGGCTAGGATGGTTCTGCTTCTGACTCATAACAGCAGTAACCAAGAATACTGTAAATCATGTGCATGTCCATCATCAGCTCTGCCCCAGTTACCAGTACACCCACTTGTCCTCTATTCCTTACGGTCTTTCAGTTCAAGTACAGAAGATTTTTTTTTGGTAATGAAGAGCACAGTCTGCTTGGAAGAAACCTCCCTGCTCAAGTATCAGGGAAAGTGGGAGTTGCAAAGCAGTTGATGTTGGAAGCCGGTACAAATGTATCTGTCTTCGTGCATTGGGGCAGTCTTGAAACTCAATCCAATTGTTTTCCAGCTACTCAGTGAAGTTAATTCAACTTTTGGGAAAACTGGTTTCAAATGTCTGGTTAATTGATCAGACCGAGCAATTCTAGCACAATTTTGACCCCCCCCCCCAAAAGTGATATGCAGGTGAAATGTGTTTTCGTATCAGAGTAGCTTCTAAGTTACTTAATGTAGAAACCGAGGTTGGAATTACAGGCTTGCAAACATACAGCAATGAGATAAATAACTGGCATAATCCCTGTGAAACCAAAACACCATGTTGTATGTTTCCCTTCTAATAAGTAGTAGTGAAATTAAAGGTAACAGATAATATAGCCTGTAAAGTGATGCTTTA